CATGTGCATAATAGGCATTATACCTATATGATTTATTGGTGGGTCAGTTAAGTACAGGTGAATTATTGGTGGGGACACATTTTATAAATAGAGCGATTATTCACCGCGCTATACCTTAACGGACAAAATTATCATTAAGGTATAGCGCGGTGAATAACCGCGCTATATATAAAACGGTGCCCAATTTTTTTTAACATATTTGTGTCTCTTGAGTCCAAATGAACCATACTTAAAGAAAACTTTTTAGATATATAAGTAAAGTAATAACTTAACTACTTAATAGTTTTCCTAACGTTTCAATTTTTTTTACTTTATACTCCTTCATTAGATAACGTGTAAAAAGTTTACTCTCTTCCTTAATTTCTCCAAGTCAATCTTTCTTATTTCCAATTTCTTCATATTTCAGAAACCCATACATATTTTTTGTCTTTCTCTTTAATATTCTTACTTGCCTTCTTTCTTCAAGATTTCATTAGTTCAAGAGTTCAACAATACTTTTAAGTTTTTAATAGTTCTATACTTCTATTGCTCTATAAGATCTTATCTAAGATCAATAATTTTCCAAAAAAGATTAAATGATAAATTGACTATATTATCAATTGAAAAGGAATTATTAGAAAAAATCGAATATAAAAAAGATTATTAATAATTTTGTATCTTAAAAAGTTAGAAGAACATACTTCAAATAAAAATAATCTTATAACTTCTTTTTTAAAATTTAGGTTCCGTATTAAATTGTGGCTTTAGGCCCTGCATATTGTTGAGCTGCAGCAGGTAATGACCATAATTAAGGACAACAGAATCATGAGTCTTAAAAAAGAAATTAAGCAAAGACATAACATTAGAAATTGCCAGCAAGAATCATTACCGAATCGGTACTAACCACTCAGCTTTTATCAATAACCACTGACTTGAAGAATGAATGCAGAACTAAAAGATTTGGATACTCTAGAATATCTTTCAAAATAGATATCAACGAAAACAACAAATACAGTATAATCCCACAAGCAACGTTTAGGGAGAGTAGTGTGTGTACGCAGCCTTATCCTATCTTATAAAGATTGAGAGGCTATTTCTCATAGACATTCTGCTCAAGCAACACAAATATCCCTAAAATCAATTTTAAAGAGTAAAATATTGAACAATGATAAAATAGTCATATTGCAAATTTTTTGCACTGATGATAAGTAATTTAAAAGAATTTATTTTTAAAAAAAATTAAAGCAATGAAGGTAAGTATAATATTACAAATCACAAAGGAAGCTAGTGTTATGAAGTAAAATTTATACTATAAGATAATTATTTTTGTGTGTGGTGGTATAACTTGTACTTTTTGGCAAATTTGTAGAGAGGAGCTGGATATGTTGGTGGAATTCAATAGTCAATGCATGTATCTAGAACCACTAGGTTTCAACTTTAAATTCTACTAGTAGAGAGTGAGGACAAAAATATTACTTCATCCGTTCACTTTTGCTTGATACGTTTTAACTTTTTACGTCCCTTAAGAAATAATAAATGAAGTGTATAATTTACCATGATACACATATTAATTGATGTATATTTTATTGGATTTGAGAAAATGATTTGAAACGAGTAATAAATACTGTGGGTATAACAGAAAAAAAAAATTATCTTCTCTTGATATGCGTAAAGTGACAAGTAAAAATAAAAATTTATTTTTAGTATACATGCCAAGTAAAAGTGAACGGAGGGAGTAAGTGATTTCTTTCCCTCTGAAATTTAGGAGAACATAGTTATCACATGCATATGTTTAGTGGCACAACCAAAATTTTTACTAAGAAGTGTCCAAATAATAAAAAGTAAATAGAAAAAAATATGAAGGGGAATCAACAATCACATTAAAAAATTATCCCGTGACAAAGTGAAATTTTCCGGCATAAGGATGTCAAATTGAATGAATGTGGCTCTGCCACTGTCTATGCTGGTCGCCGTCCCCAATAACAAATATCCCATAAGCGAAAGTTAATTCGAACTACCACTAACTATCAAAAGTTTAAAAAAAAGGGGGGACAAACCGCATTATTTAGTACCATACTGAGGACCCACGAAGGGTTATAAGAAAAAAAAAAAAAGCAAATTGCAGCATAATTCTAATTTCGGGTCCTATAAATTAAGAAGCTTTACAACCTATTTGAAAAAGAAACACTCTCTTCTATTATACAGCAAACTAAAGACAGGAAAAATCATGCCTTGCTTTAATGTTTCAACTAACGTGAATCTAGATGGAGTAGACACTGCTCCTTTCTTCTCTGAAGCTACCAAAGCTGTTGCTTCTATCATCGGTAAACCCGAGAACGTACGTATTCTCTACCTCCCTCTACCTCTGCACGAACAAGTTAGGATCGACTATATGAATTTTTCGTCAATATTTTCTTATCCATATGATTGCTATATATGATGATTTCTTCCGAAATTGTCTAGCTATTTTCTTTCTTTCAGCAAGAGTTTTTTCATTCTACTTTCTTCTTTCTTAAAGAGGGGTATAAGATTCGTGTAAAGGTGAGGTTTGTAAACGGTTAATGTTATTTGGTAGGGCTTTAACAACTCTTATACACCCTCCGATCGTTTTCATTTTATGTTGGCGGTATTTGCTTCCGGCCGGACTTCAGGAAGGAAAAAAAAAAAGTAGAGACACCCACATATAGTGGCGGAACTAAAAATTTTAATAGGGTTATCAAAATATAAAAAATAAAATAAAGGGAATCAACATAGTAGTATTTTAGCATAAAAATAATTTTTTTTTTCTGGCAAAACGGTATAATTTTTCGGAGAAGATGGACATATATGAGAACTACTTTTAAAACTTGTAATTTTGTCATGGCATATTTATAATTATATTCCCAAGCAATTTATACTGAGAGGAGATGTATATTTTACCATTAAAAATTTGTGGTAATAAGAAAACTAGCAGGGCCCTTATTGTCTGTCGTCTGTCGTCAATTGATTTGTGTATTATCAAGTTGTAGAAATGATTGAAGTACGTTGTTCGTTGTTTAAAACGGTTCACACTTTTCTTATCCAAAACAAATGTCCTAAGCTGGAAAAGTCATGTGCAACTTTTGCATCCAATCCTTGACTTAGTTGACCAAAATGAATGGCCACAGATCAGAGGGTTTGAGGTTATTTGAGATCCCTAGCAACTATTAGCACTTGACACATATAAAAACGTGTCCATTGTTATTGGAAAGTGAAAAAGAAAAGAAACTCTTTTGACCCTAGCTCGTATTGTTTTCTCCACCAGTCGCGTCTGTCAATATCTATTGGAAAAAATATATATTTGAAGTTACAGTTGAAAAAGATTACTAGTAATTGCTTTGGATATGATCGACCTTCACTTGAAGATACGTTTAAATTGAAAATCTGTGAGTAGAACTATTATTGCACTTGAAATATTACTCAAACCATTAATTATTCTTTGAATTAGAAGTTGAAATACCCAACAAATTTGTTATCTAAACATTGAATTGCAATTTTTTAACATTATTTCAGAGTATTATGCATGTCCAAATGACGTAATTTGATGTGAAATCATGTCCGTGATAGACACTATGATAAAGACTATATGCATGCAAGTAAATGCCTTTGTCAGCATAGATCAAATAAGAAATTAATAGATAAAATTAATATAAAAGTGCCAGAATTAAAAAATGAGAATTTGACAAAAGCTAAACTCTCCTTGTCGTGTCAAAAGGCAAAAAAACGCATGGGCGAAGGATATATTGAGGTGAGGGTCTATCGGAAATAACCCCTCTACTTCCACAAGGTAGAGTACGATATGCGTGCATTACCTTCCCCAAACCTTACTTATGAAATTACATTGAGTTTGTTGTTGTTGCATGGGCGGAGGATACTATGACATGATGAGTCTTATTATTATGTTACTATTATTATAAAAGCAACATCAAATTGACATGTATATATTTTCTTTATGGTTTCAAGATGCTCCCCAATATATTAGACTTTAAACCAACAAAACCAACAACAACAAAAAAAAACATGGAACTTCGTATGTTTCGTATTTTGACTTTGTATATATGTGTTTTCGCAGTTCGTAATGGTTGTACTGAAAGGATCAGTGGATATATCATTTGGAGGGAACAAGGAAGCAGCTGCATTTGCTGAGATTATATCAATGGGTGGCATTAACTCAGATGTCAAGAGAAACCTTATTGCTACTCTCGGCACCATTTTGCAGAATAATTTCTCCATTCCCAGAGCTAGATTCTTTCTCAAGGTCTATGATACAACAATGGCTACCAAATTCTCCAAACTCTAATTTTCTCAAATCAATATCACTGTCATGTTCGTTCTCCTTTTTGTTTAATTTACATTGCAATGAAAGCATGATATAGTGATTTTATTTAAGGGCAATCCACCCTTCCTATTTCTTTTATGGATTTAGTTTCTCCCGACAGTTTTGAGTTATCTTGGTGCTGATTAGGGGCGGCAAACGGGGTCGGGTCGAATATGGACGGGTTGAAAATGGATAATGCAAATAGATAAATTATCCGACCAGACCCATATTTAATATGGATATAAAATGGATTAACCGGCGGATATATTATCCATGACTTCTTGAATATGATCACTTTTGCGAGAATTCTTAATCTTCCAAACTTGAGGAACCCCCAATTTAAGTGTTTACAAATGTAAAAGCTAAACTCATTAATTATCCATGGGTTATCTATTTTCTAAGTAGATAATATAGTTTTTATCCATATTTGACCCATTTTTAAATTAAAAAAATCATTATCCAACCTATTTTTTAGTGGATAATATGAATGGATAACTATTTTTTTAATCCATTTTACCACCACTAGCTGTGATTTTAGCAACAAAAAAAAAAAGAAAGAAGAATTAACCTAAATAGTTGCTCATCCAACCGCTTAAACTAAAAATAACCGGGAATAGTCCATGTATAATATGAGTATAACCATGTATAATCTATATATATATATATATAGATGCTACGAAAAGTAAATAGCTAGTGAATCTGATTGACTATTTGTGTAAACATCCCAGAAGACACAACATTGAATATCAACCCTCCAAAAACTAATGGTTTTCCCTTGGCAAGAGCATAATGTTGTGAAAGGAACTAGAGATTTTCCCAAGAGAATTTGTGCAAAAGATGGCTCGCGACGCTACTTAACTGTACTATCAGTGTTCTACAGGGATCGCCAATTCTGGTGTCGATCCAACAGACACCACTTTGCTACTTTCCAACGTTCAGGAAGTGCTTCTAGGCTTCCAAAAACATATAGTAACCCTATTCAGAATTGTAAAATGGCAAATATTGAACAAAGGATGCCAACGAAGATGCAGCTTCTGTACTTCGAAAACAGAACTCAGTCTTCTGATAAAACTATAGCTGAGCAGAAACACCTTTTTCCTATTCCCCTCAAGTTGGGTGTTTGCCAACCTTGACCCTCCTTATAACATTCGATCTGCAATCGTGATCAGAGAGTTAGCTAGCAGGAGCAACGCGTGTACATAATGGAAACTTAGCATGACGAAAAACAATTAAATAAAAGTTTAATTATATACAGTATTAGTGTAAGGAATTTTTATACCATCATGTCACCTTTAACTATAGTAGCAGGTAATCTGTCTAATTTCCAAATTAAATGGCACATTTTAAAGAGGCTTAGCTGTAGTGCTGTAGATATAATAGAGTATAATGTTACTCACACTAACAGCGTATATAACTTAAACATATTAAATAATGATACGCACCACGTCTACAACTTCCTCACCAGGTTGAACCCCTCCAATCACATAAATAGACTCCTTTAGAACAATAGCTGCTGAATACCCTATCAGGTGCTTCATTGGCTCTCCAACCATCCATGTTTCAAGACGGGGATCATATATCTCAGTGTTAGGCACCATTGTAGACCCATCGTACCCACCAAGTGCGTATCTGCATAGCAGTTGTAAAGCTAAAAGTAAATAACAAGATGATATTCATCCCAAATGGGAGAGGCTACAACGTAAGGCATAGCACCTGGGCCCTGCTCCCAAACCCCATCCCCGAACCAGAATAAAGAGGGTGACTACAGGAGAAAGCACCTCCTACTCCTTTTGGAGGCATTATAATATTAGATAAGCAATCAAAAAGCACGAAAATGATAACAACTTACAACTTCCCGTCCAACACAGCCAATGCATGGCATCCTCTGCTCGTACACATACTCTTAATTTTTGTCCAGGAATGTTCTCTGGGATCAAATCTTTCAGCAGTCCTGTGGTAACATTTGATCAGAAAGGAGATAGGAGAAGAGAGCAGAAAATTGTAACAACAAATAAATGCCTTTACACATGCACTTTTGCATAATTCCTTTGACTAAAATTCGCGTAATCAGCATTACGAGACCAACAGATTGGAAAACCAAGTCTCCTCCTTGGGGAAGATATTAACAGTTATAAAAGTGATTGGAGACATGAGGTACAACGTCAAGTATCATTCAAACATACAGTTCAAAGAAGGCGCCAGAATAAGAAAAAATGCAATTTCATAACTTACGCCAGGTAATTGCTTCCATCATATCCACCAACCGCATATAACACACCATTGAGTTCTGCTGCAGCAAGAGAAAATCGCTGCAAATACACACGCAGGGAAGATAAAGTCATGCTTCTGTAAGACAGATATAACAGTAAAAGAAAGTAAATGGAAACATATATGAGAAACTACTTAAGAACAATAACGCAAAACAAGATAAGTGAAGGTCCTGATGTTTAAACAAGGACAAGGCAAGGAAACAGCATAACTTCACATTTTTTACCGAGCACTGACCAGAATTCAATTGCTATTGGATTAAAATCTTTGCTAATCAACCTGCATAACTTCAGTTTGCAATTTTTAGGTTATCCTTCCTCTCCACATTTTTAGGTTTTCTCACTATTAATTAATTATAATAAGAGGCTGATAAGGCTTGACCAAGAGGCAACACATAAAGATTTCAATAAGAAAAAATGAAGCTCAAGGACAAGATGACCCCATATTGACTTGCCACAACTTTTAAGAGTGACAATAAATTCCAGAGCAATACACATCAACGTGCTAGTTGGAAAATTGACTTTAACCGAAATAAGCTTTCTCATCATTAATTACTTCAAATTCGGCCATCTAAGCAAACAAGTTTCATCTTTTCATATATAGTTTGTTGTTGCTGAAACAAATAAATACTGGTACATGCAAATACAAGGAGCAATGAAGTTAACCTTCTGCAACATGGATCTTGTAGAAATCCAACGCTCTACTAGAGGATCATACATCTCAACCTCTGAAAAGCAGTCAATCCCATTGCTACCGCCAATTGCAAAAATTTTGTCCTTCAAAGTAGCACCAGCTAAACTACCCTTTTTCTTATTCAAGGAAGGATGTAGGGTCCACTCGTTATCTGCTGGATTATATGATTCAACTATACAAAAGCAGCATAGCATCAGCATTAGCAACTTAAGATGCTAGAGAAAGTGGCACTTGGGAGCAATGAGTGCTGGGGGCTAAAAACTATAAGATGTACCTGTGTCGTACCACAAGCTTCCAGTTCCGCCACCAAATACATAAAGCTTTCCACACAGTTTTGCAACTGAGGCATATGATCGAACTGAACTCATTGGCTTAAGAGACTTTAACACATCATTTGAAGGTGAGTATGACTCCAAGGTAGATAACCATGATACCCCGTCATATCCTCCAGCTAGGAAGATTGACTCAGGATCCAGCAGTACTTGATCAACTGGCTCAAACACTGTTTCATCAGCCAATTGACATGACGGAATTGAGGACTCAGGCATCATATATCTATATTTTAACTGCTTAATCTCTTCTCTTGCATCGGCCTGAAATGCAAGGCAGATAACAATCATCAGGAGTGCATTTCTAAAATGCACATCATGCACACAAGTGGTAAGTTTTTTTTTTTTTTTTGATGAAGTAATGTATTGTATTAAAGGCATCAAGAAGATGCAAAAGGTTACAATAGAAAACTTGGTTAACTCCTTAGGACAAAAAAACTATTCTAGAGCCTTGAGTTAACCAAGAGCAAAAAGCAATGGTCACTAGACCATTGAGAGAGAACTAATGAAGTCTAAGAGGGGAATAATATCATTTACAGGGGAAAGGTTACTCCAACTAAAAAGACTTATTAGACATTTAGACTTCTCCAACTAAGAACTTACCACAATAATACAAAATTTCATCGTCAAAACGTGTAGATGCAGTACAACATGCACAATAAACACTATGAAGTGGGAAATATACTAGAATTCCAGAGGCGGGCAAAAGGATTTATTCACCCTTAGAACATCTAGATACAGCAGAATGCACAATAAGCAACAAGAGAAGAAAGTACTAAATTCCCTGACACAGCCACAAGGTTTTAGAAATACCAGTATTTCTTCTTCTTCTTCTTCTTCTTCTTTTCTGATAAAGGAAACACAAGGTTTGTCTCATGTTTGATGCTAGATAATAACACTGGATCCACTTCTCAGTTTTCATGAATACAAATATCATTTTCCCTTTGCATCCTGCAGCGCACCAAGAACCTTATTTCATTCCTTTTGGTTCATAATCTAACCTTAATTACACCATGACATCCAATTCCAAATTGTTGAATGATCGATCCCATTTCCCCCAAGTTGTAATGTTCCAAGTCTCTTACAGCCTAAAGCTGATAATTTCTCCTCTACAACAACAACAACATACCTAGTGTAATCCCACAGGTAGGGTTCTCCTCTAAATATTCAATTTCCAGTATCTTCTTCTCTCAACAATTGAAGCCCGACTTAAAGAGTTTTAAGTAAACTAACCAGTTCTATAATTACTACTCATGTTACTTTTTGTCCTTCAGTATGTTCATAGCACTAACAAAACCCATGAATCAACCTATTAAAGCTCCACCACTATACCACCTAAAAACATTACTCCTATTATGTAAGGTATATCAACCATTCTCCTAGAAGACTAAGCCTATATCTGAATTGTTTGCACTTAAGCACCAGAATCTCATCTAATTTCACCCGACCTACATTTTTCTTACAGGGGACTAAATTTGAAGTGCATATATTCTATCTCACTTCTACCTATCATTAAGCCTTTACTTTCACAGTTCTATCTTTTGGTTGCTAATTTAGTCAATTATCATAAATATCATTTGAAAACAGAGTAACTTTCTCATACGAGTTACTAAGAAAGATAATTTTCTGGTAACAATATCCCTATCATCCTCTTTCAGAAATTAGGCTAGCTTTTCGTAGATACATACATCCCAATGAATCCTGAAGACCATTGGAAGTTATTGCTTGTTCTGATTGTTTCATTTACTTCGAAAGAGGAGACAAATGTCAAAATCCTTCTGAAACTCCTTTATTTTGTTTGAAAGATGACAGACTGATGACTTTTCACAGTCAAAAGTGGTAACACAAATCCTTGGGTTGCATATGGATTCCAGTGTTATATGAAAATGTGTTTTCTTACTTATTCCAACACCTCCACCTACCCCCCCTCCCCCCCAAACACACACAAAAAAATAAAAAATACCAAACGGAAAAGAAAAAAAAAGGAGAGGAAANTGTGGCTCGGACCGACCATTTTCCTCTCTATTGTCATTTGCCGGTAAACCTTGTATTATATTTCTCCATGTAGCTGCATCCTCCGGCATGCAGCTGCTTGGAGCAAATGCAAGAGATGAGAGCTTGGAGATCAATTTACCAGCTTGAACATGATCTAGCTCAAATAAGAAATGGTTCTGATTGTAATAGTTATCCAGAATTATACGTTTAAACAGACTTTCTGGCAGTGGTTGGCACTGCAGACGGACACGCATCAGAACCTTCATTTATAGAGAGGAAAACAGCAAACTTTTAACAGAAGATACTTCTGTGGACATAAACAGGAAAGCATCAACAAAAGAAAATAAACCCCATGTAAAAACCATGACATAAAACCTGAGCAGGATATAGCGTTCTTCCAGAACCGTCCTTTGTCCAAGCATATGGATTGATAGACATTTCTCCAGAGCTTGCAGCTTCAAAAATACCATGAAGCTCCTTATTGCTGTAGTTGAACAAAAACAGTGGCAGACCTGGATCTATGTTCTTCACATATGAAAAATGTTTAGCAGGCAAACCTAAAAAAGAAAAAAGGAAAAAAGAAAAAAAAAAAAAGATCAGCAATTCGATCAAAGGACAAAAATAAGAAGAAAGGAAAGAGTATATATAACAATTCAGCTCTCATGTGATAGTTAAAAGGACATTTAAAGCTAATTATCAAACCATATATATGCCTTTACTCCTAAATGTCTTAAATATTATTGTGAAAGGCCAAGCGGCCCACTTATTAGCGCCCAAATAACTAACCAAATAGCTGTTTACATAGACATTCTTTCATGGTACCATTCGTGCAACCAAATATGACACCGCCAAGTTGTCTTTTCGTCAAGCATCTAAAATCTCCAGTGTAGCTTGTCTGGTTGGGTAGTGATGATGCAGAATCAAATACAAAGGTCTGCGTTCTTCTCCCTGCTCCCATCCTGAAAAATTAATATGCATAAAACTTATTTATCGTGACTACAACAGAAAAAATAAAAACACTATTACAAGCATGCTAATGTTAGTTTTTACGGGAAAGTTTGTGTTATACTTTGTATTTAAAAACAAAAAGAGAGACAGAGATGACACAGCCACACATGAATTCAGATTGCTTAAAATTTGTAAATGAAAAGAGTTCTACAAAGTCTCACATAAAATTCCATAAATAGTACATCAAGAAGCCTAGCAAAACCATTTTAAAAACGAAAAAAAGAAAAAGAAAAAGAAAAGTCTCCACTTGTCTAGTCATTTAGTTTATTTTGGTGTTCAGAAGTCGAAGGTAAATATCATTGGGACACTAAGAACAACTACAACCTATAGCTCACCCTGTTTCCACATTTACCACCCAAGAGAGCATGATCATTTTTGCCACCCAAGTTGTGCCCTAACAATCAATAAAGTGGGACAAAATTTATGGGAGATCAGGGTTTAAACCTCAACATAGGCAAAAACACTAGGTGTTCAGCATACTATGCTTTTTTGGGAAAAATTAAAATGAACTATGGGAGATCAGGGTTCAAATTCTAGCTGGAGCAAAAAATGTTAGATTATTTTTTTTGATATACTATTCCACCTGCTACCTTTCACGAGCAAAGATACCAGGTAACTCTGCCTACAAATGCTTGTGGTGTCCGGGTCAATTTACGGCACACCTCGACTAATCTACCTCCCACCAGCACAGGTATCGGATAACTCTGTCCATCAAAACTTAAACATATGAGAAAAAATCACTTAACATTTTTTACCTCTACTAAAATTTAAACCGAAACTTCATGATTCTCCTCCTACCTCATTGAACCTTGGATGCTCATTAGGTGATTTTTTCTATTTGAGTTACGTACAAGCTGGCTTGAACACCACCATTGTTAAAAGAGCAAGAGAGAGAGCATGATCATTTATTAAAAAATGAAATGTATAATAGAAATTCAGCAACTTAACACATGACGATATGAAAAACTTTTCACAAAATATAGACATTTTTCCTGTTCCTTGACAACAAAAAATTTCACCAAAATTAAAGAACTTAGAAACCTACTTTTTAAGCTCCAACTCAGTGATCGATTTTTCCAGTGAAGCCAAATGTGAGGGATGCAGAGTATAAAACTATGGTTAATGTAGTTATAAGCGGAAGAAGGAAAGACGACAGACCTGGCAACAATGGGAAAATGCAGATAGTCTGAAAAAGGAACTGTCAGTGGAGTGGAGGAGCGAAACAGACACGTTAAAGACCAACTTTTTTTATAATATAAGTATATGTGTATGGCAGAAGAAGGGAAAGAAAATGACAAATTTAAAAGCGCAAAAGTTAATGGTAAGTTTCAATTTCCTTCTAGTGTATTTTATAATATATTGTCTAGTACTTTATTATTTATATATTAGAGTTCTTATATTGTTTCAAAATATTATATAAACCTCCTTACATTAAAAAAAATAAATTATATTATTTAAATATTAATTTTAATTCAAAAAATATTAAGGAATCAAAGTCTGATTTAAGCAAAGTTTAAATATATTGCTTATCATGCTTTGAATTCAACCATTCTCCTATTTTTCCATTCAAATGGAACATGGAAAAGGAAAGATTGGCATTAAACACTATTTTTTAAATTGCTGTTCAAAAGTGATTTTAAAATTAATTAGTCAAACACAGATTATTTCTTATTAAAAGTATTTTCTTAACAAGAATTTTTGAAAAAAATATTTTTCAAAATAAGATGATTTTAAAAGCTTGGCCAAATAGACTATAACACTTATTGCAGGTTGGTTGATGTCACGACCTAAATTTCAACCCGTCGTGTTGCGACTATCATGAAACTAGGCAAGCCAACAACTCATACATACCAACACTTTCAAATTCATATTATACTAAAATATGTTTAAATAAGTGAAAACCTCATAAAAACTGGATGAAACGTCACAACTCAATACAAAAATTCTTAAAACCCGGGTGTCACTGAGTACATGAGCATCTACACAAATACATAGTCTGATACACTATCTAAGAAAGTAGAACTGAATAAATAAAACTGAGGGATAGGGGAGGAGAGTCAAGGTCTGCCTTCGAACGGCTGAAAACTCTGATATCAACAACCACCATGCCCGGAAACATCTGGATCTACACACGAAGTGCAGGGTGTAGTGTGAGTACAACCAACTCAATAAGTAACAAGTCTAACCTTTGGACTGAAAGCAGTGATGAGTCCGAACAATACGGTCCAAACACATAATTAAACAGTACGAAAATTTACATAACATATGACACTAATATCTTAGAGAAACTCATAATTTACAGGTACCAGTATAGGAATGTAGACATACTTCCAGGTTTAACAATTAAACTCAGAACATACAAAATATGTCAAGTCTGAATGATATGAGGAATATGACATCTCTATATCAACATGTCAATATGCATATCGTATGTGATGCAACACAATGAAAGCCTCACGTACTTGCACTCTCGGAGTACTCAGCCTGACTGTCTCAATTCTCACTCATCATACTCAATCACTCAGCAATGTACATGGCAGATCCAGCCTGAATCAAATATCGTGAATCAATAGCAACTGCGCTCACTATGGGTGGGTAGATTCCGGAGGGGCAGATCCAGCCCAAGCATAAATCAATAAAGCCTGCTGCGGCATGCAGTCCGATCCCATAAATATCGCTCACAAACAGGCCTTCGGCCTCACTCAATCATCAATCTCTCTAGTCTTTCGGGCTCACAACACTCATGCTAAGAAATCCAAATCAATGATACGTGATGTGACGATGTATGATAACCGAGACTGAGATATGATATGCAATGATGAATGGGACTGAGTACATAATTGCAATTAAGAAAATAACTCAACAACAACGAACGACCACTATGGGTCCTAATAGTACTAGCACATAGTCTAAACATAATTTCTAGCATAAATCACAGCTCAAGTGCTCTAACACACAGAGTACAGTAATAATTATTCAGACAAGATAGCTACATAATTCCACAAAATCTACTAAATCACAATTTCTATGGTGGATGCCCACACGCCCGTCACCTAGCATGTGCGTCACCTCAACACCAATCACATAGCACGTAATTTCAGGGATTCATACCCTCATAACCAAGTTTAGAAGTGCTACTTACCTTAAACCGTACAAATCTCTACTCCAACATGCCCTTGCCTTGCGAATCGGCCTTCGAATACCTCGATTATAGCCACAAATAATTCGATACAATCAACTCAAGCTATAGGAATCAATTCCATATGAAAATGCTAAGTTCTTAATCAAAAGTCAAAAAGTCAACTCAAAAGTCAACCCTCTGGTCCACGTCTCAGAATTCAATGAAAGTTACAAAATCCGAACACCCATTCAACCACGAGTCCAACCATACCAAAATTTATCAAATCTGATACCAAAATCTCGCTCAAATCTCCAAAATTCGGCCTAAGAAGTTTTCTCCATTTTTTCCAAATGTTTCACCCCAAATCACTAATTAAATAATGAAATCAAAGATATAATCATGGAATTTAACCAAAACTAAGTAAGAATCACTTACCCCAATTACTCCCTTGAAAATCTCTCCAAGAATCGCCTCAATCCGAGCTCCCAAAATCAAATTTGTGAAATAAACTCAAACCCTCGTTTTGAGACTTTAAATTCTGCCCAGATATCTTTAATCGCGATCGCGAAAAATGCTTCGTGATCGCGAAGCAAAAACTCAGCTGCCCAAGAATTAACCCTACGCAATCGCCTAAAGATCCACGCGTACGCGATGACTAACCTTCACAAACCTACTTGATCGCAAACACTGCTACTCGATCATGAATAACAACCACGTGGAACCCAGCTGCCCCACTTCCTCTTCGCGAATGCGGCTTAGCCCACGCGTTCGCGATGCACTGCCTGACCAACCTACGCGATTGCATACTCTTGCTCGCGAACGCATAGGGTAAAATTCCCAGCTTCCCAAACAAGCCTTTGCGATTGTGGACCTATCCACGCAATCGCATAGAAGGAAACCAGACCTGAACACCAGCAAACTTTAACAAACTCCAGCCATTTCTCCAAGTCAATTATACTCCGATGACCATCTGAAATCTACCAGAGGTCCTCGGGAACATACCAACAAGTCCTAAAACATCATACGAACTCGCTCGAAGTGTCAAATCACATCAAACAATGCTAAAACCATGAATCGCGCATCGATTCAAGTCTAATGAACTTATGAACTTCTAACTTCTACATTCGATGCCGAAACATATTAAATAAAGTCCGATTGACCTCAAATTTTCCACACAAGTCATAAATGACACAACAGACCTACTCCCACTCCCAGAACTAAAATCCGAGCCCCGTAACCACAAAGTCAACTCTCGGTCAAACTTCTCAAATTTCCAAAACTTCGAATTTTCCAACTTTTTTCATTTCAAGCCTAAATCAACTACGAACCTCCAAATCACTATCCGGATACACTCCACTGCACCTTCACTGAAGCTATGTTCTTTGACCTCAACTTTCAAACCTGCCGATCCAAAATGGCCACTGGCTCCACATCATAAGTCAAATCACCATCCAACTGAACCGTGTTGAAATCCAAAACATAAGATGGATCGCCGACATAGAAACATGAAACACTGGATGAATACTCGACAGAATTGGTGGCAAGGCAAGCTTGTAAGCCACCTCTCCAATCCTCTGAAACACCTCAAACGACCCAATATACCGAGGGCAACCTCATAACACCCTTCATGGGTGAAATCTTGAGTAGTACCTTCTCCCCCACCATGTAAGCAACATCGCAAACCTTCTGATTGGCATAACTCTTCTGTCTAGACTGCGCCGTGCGAAGCCGATCTTGAATCAACTTAACCTTTTCCAGAGTATACTAAACTAAGTCAGTACCCAATAGCCTAGCCTCACCCGGCTCAAACCATCCCACCGAAGACCGACACCGTCTCCCATACAAAGCCTCATACGGAGCCATCTGAATGCTCGATTGGTAGCTGTTGTTGTAGGCAAACTCTGCAAGTGGCAGAAACTGATCCCAAGAACCCTCGAAATCTATGACACAAGCGCGTAGCATATCCTCCAATATCTGAATAGTGTGCTAGGACTGTACGGACTGTCCGTCTATCTGAGGGTGAAATACTGTACTCAGCTCAACCTGTGTGCCCAACTCTCGTTGCACTGCTCTCCAAAACTACAATGTAAATTGCATGCCCCGATCTGAAATGATGGACACCAGCACACCATGAAGGCGAACAATCTCGCGGATGTTGATCTCAGCCAACCGCTCCGAAGAATAAGTAGTCCCAACTGGAATGAAATGCGCGAACTTGGTCAACCGATCCACAATCACCCAAATAGCATCAAACTTTCTCGAAGTCCGTAGGAGCCCAACTATAAAATCCATGGTGATACGCTCACATTTCCACTTCGGAATCTCAAGCCTCCGAAGCAATCCGCCTGGTCTCTTGTGCTCGTACTTCACATGCTGACAGTTTAGGCACCGAGTTACAAACTCCACTATATCCTTCTTCATCCTCCTCCACCAATTGTGTTGCCTCAAGTCCTAGTACATATTTGCGGCACCCAGATGAATAGAATACCGCGAACTGTGGGCCTCCTCAAGAATTAACTCACGTAGCCCATCCACACTGGGCACACAAATACGACCCTGCATCTTCAACACCCCATCATCCCCAATAGTAACCTCCTTGACATCACCATGTTGAACCGTGTCCTTAAGGACAAGCAAATAAGGATCATCATACTGGCGCTCTCTGATGCGATCATATAAGGAAGACCGAGAAACCACACAAGCTAGAACCCGACTGGGCTCCTAAACATCTAATCTCATGAACTGTTTAGCCAAGGGCTGAACATCAGCTGCAAGTGGTCTCTCTCCAATAGGAATAAATGCAAGGCTACCTATATTCACCGCCTTTCTACTCAAGGCATCGGCCACCACATTGGCCTTCCCGGAATGATACAGAATGGTGATATCATAGTCCTTTAGTAGTTCCAACCATCTCCGCAGCCTCAAATTTAGATCTTTTTGTTTGAACAAGTGCTGGAGGCTCCGATGATCCGTAAATACCTTACAAGACACACCATAGAGATAATGCCTCCAAATCTTCAATACATGAACAATGGTTGCCAACTATAAATCTCGAACATGGTAGTTCTTCTCATGGGGCTTCAACTAGCACGAAGCA